ATTTCTTGATCAGATTTCCCTTTTCTTTTTAACGTACATTTTATATCCAACCACCCCACTTTTTAATTGATTAACAAGACTTTTAATAAAATTACTCTTATAGATTCTAAAGTAGATTTTAATCTGCTCTATTTGCTTAATTGATTTTAAAAATGTAATTGAATTTTCAAATTATTATTAGGTTTATGAAATTCCAGTCAAATCCGATACAATGTCTGTTAAAAGTAATACGCATATACAAAGATGTCTAAGAAGGCCTCAAGTTCAATTACTGATTGATCTCAACTTCAAATCCTTTTAAGCCTATTAAGCTTCTTGTTTGTCAAGTTTTTTGTACGGTCCACTTTAGATTTGTCAATCGGGCAAAGTGCCTATAAGCTTATTTCCAATTCTCGGTTTCTGGCTAGCATTTATCCGAATGTCAGCGGCTAATCGACAGTTGGCTAAGCAATTGAAAGACAGATAAATGTGTCGAGTGGAAAATGAGTAAAACCCGAAATCAAATACTAATTTTCCGCCGACTAATTGCAATTAAGGGTAATCTTATTTTCCTGTATTTCAACTAGTTTTAGTGACCGTTACCCGATGGGGGAAACTAATGATGGGTTTATGTAATGGGGTCTGCAAACCAACACAGGTGGAAAACTAGAGAAATTCTGAATAACTTAGGTTAATTACGAAGTAAACTTAAGTCCATCTCTATTGGGTGGAGCAGAGCGTATAATGCCCGCGAGGGCTAATACATGCGGTTATTATTAATGCCCCTTTGGATGGGGTCCCGGGGTTCGAGGTTTCCACCGCGGCATGTCGACAGTAAATAAGCCTTCATTTTTCATGGCTCTCGCCTGACCGAATTCTATGCAGCCAGTTCTTGGCCAAAAGCAGCTGCATTTGCCGGTGGCAGTGCGGTTATGCAAGCCAAAAAAAAAAAAAAAAAAGAAGCCGGAGAAAGGAGCTGGGGAATACTTTGCCACCGCATTCCTGGCCCAAAGACAGCCGGTCAAATGTCAGGGGCCATAAATAAGCTGGCCCAAACCAGCGGACAGGCTTCCGCGACACCAATGCTCCTCGGTGCCAACGCAGAAGCCAAATCCAATGTGCTCCTTATGGCGATTGCAATTCAAGGCGCGAAACAATTAAACATAGTTTTCATTGCACAAAGCCGCCGACATTGCGCAAATTAATTTGTGCAGTAAAAAAGCAGAAAAAAAAATAGAAAAAGAGCAATCGTCTCAAAGAAAGCGCGCTAAGCAAATCCAATTTCACCGTCAGCAATGTTTATTTATCTGTCGCCGCAGCTGCATTTACCTCTTTCTCCGGCCAGCTCGGCAAACACCCATCATGGCCATATTTGTGGAGCAATCCACCTTCATCTCGGGGACCCCAAAACGACCAGCTCCCAGCTAATGCAGCCGATCAACAATTTAGATACAATATCGCATATCGCATCATAATGTCGTCGTCGTCATCCTCTTGGCCAGCAAAATGGCGACACCACAGCGGCAGCAGCAGCAGCAGCAACAGTTGCAACTACAGCAGCAACAGTTGCAGGTACAGCAGCAACATCAAGCACGGCGGCATCTTTTTTCGCACCTTGTTTGAATGCTCGCGCCTAATGGACGACAGCAACATTAGTTTGCCGGCCGGCTGCAGACGCTTTTTGTGGTCCAGTTTCGTGTGTTTGCCTTGTTTTGGCATCGCAGATTAAATATATTTAATTAAAAAGAAACAAGATGAATGTGAGATCAATTGACACGGCCAGCGGTGGATACACTATACGTAGATCTTGCTGATAGAGAGAAGCCTCTAAGAAGTATGCAAATACTTGAAAAGGGCTGGGAATATCAGTTAGTCTAAATGTCTTTCCCACGAAGACAAATTCTTTTCAAGAGACTAGCATTTTTATTACTGGCAAATTCGATCGATTTTTATGACCATAGCATGGAGATTTATTGCCACATTTAAAAAACAAACTAATCTAAACTTTCCTAGAAAGCTTTTCTAAACCTAACTATAAACTTCAACTTATACAGAAAATATGTTTAGGAATGGTAGGAAAATAATTAATACTATAATATCGAAATCAACCTGAGGTTGTTTTTCATAATCAGTGCAGTGATTACTTCTTTCATAAATTCCTGACTATTCTTTTAATCGTAGAAATATTACTGATATCATATTGAAAACCTTTTATAATTTTTATTTAGTTTATAGTTCAGAAACATTAAAACTATTGACTTTCTAGACAAATATTTTATGTTTACATATATGATATGAGTCAGCAATTTTAAAAGCAATTATTTATAAAAATCAATGGAGTTCAATACAAAAAGCTGTTTATACTCTTTTGTAAGAGTATTTGAAAACTACAAGAGGTGGAAAGACAAAAGCCAACAACGATCTGCACAAAATTGGTAGCTGTCAACGCCTTTTTAATTGAAAGCGTGTTGGTGTTAAACACTCGTAAGTATCTCTTAGTATGATTTTTGCGCCGATCGCGATATGACAAGCGGGACAACTCCGACGGACGGACTCTCGAGCGGACATGAAGACAGCTGAATGGACGGCTGCGGCTTATCGGTGAACTACTTTTCGAATGGAAATGAATGAAATCAAATGAAATGAGCAGAGTCAACGATTTGAATCGAATGCGAGTGCGAATCAATGGGCGCCCCAAACCACCGACAAATCGATTGAAAACAAAAACAAACAGCAGCCAAAGAAACACAGGGAGGGGAAAATAAAGATTGCATTTAATTTCTTTAACCTTGCTTTCACTTTTCTCATTAACTTTTCGTTGGCAATTAAAATTCAATTTTTGCTCAGAAATCAAGTCAGATAAATGGCCGCACATTTATCAAACGAAGCGGAGTGCGCGGGAGCGTGTGAAAAAGGCCAAGACGCCACATACGAAACGTTAACAAGGCTCGCAAAATTTTTAAATGCCAATTTCCGCAAATTATTAAATGAAATTGAGGATTCCGCACGGCTATCTATACATCTTTGGTTAGGGGAATTCAATCGGCTGTGGGGCCTTATATGGTATGTGGTACACAGAAAAAAAATAGGCATTAAAGTGCCCTTAATTTGATTTTGTAAAAGATCGCTGCAGTTAATATGTGATTTATTAGGGAATTCAACTTGTTATATAATAACTAACCTATGCTGATCTAATGAAATTTAAACTTTGGTTTGAACTATACATTTTTCATTATTATTAACTCTTAGTTAAAATTAATATATATTTTTTTATGTGTACCTGCTGCGTGTCGTGTATTTGCAATTTGACATACTTTTGTTAACCAGCAACTGCAACTGCAGCAACATCTTGCGGCAGCATCAACAATCATAATAATAATGGCAAAACTTAATAGTGGCGCGAAAGTATGACGAATATGTAAACTGCAGCTAATCCCGCAACAAATGATTGCGATTAATCAGCGGAATTGCATTAGCCGGGCCAAAAGGAGTCGCCCAACTGGGCGTAACTCCGACTGTCACTGCCGCTGATTAAGCGAGATTCCCAGGGGAAGATACAAATGCGAGTACGAGTTGTGGGTGCGTGCGCCTGCAATTATGCGCATGGCGCGCACGGTAGCCCAGGCCATGCAATGTGCCATAAGCCATATGCCATATGCAACATGCGAGCGAACCCTTTCGCCGGAGGCCAAAAACTCATTAACAAGTCAATTAAAAGGCCAGGAAGTGGCAGATGCTCCTCGTATCCATGAGTATCGCTTGGCTGCCATCCACCTGGATGCCTCGCTTATCTAACGACTCCATTTGGCCGCCGACTGGCAGCCTCATCTCTCAATCCCAATCTGGCGACCGATCCTGAAACTAATGCGAAAGCGGCTCCGAGAAGCCAACACTAAGCGGATGCGCGTAATAAATTAATAAAGCCCGCATTAAAAGCAATGCATATTCAATTAACAATGTCAGTGCGCCGCGTATCTGCGAGATACATTCGGCATTCGGCATTCGCAGTCACAATTCGCTGCGCCTGCCGCATTTCCTGTCAGCAAAACCAAATCCAAGTCCCCAGCTCATTAAAACTTCAAGACTACAAAGTGACCGGGAGAAACCAATTTTGTTGTACATTGTAAATCGTTCGGCGAACCTACGGCATCAACAAATGCTTTTAATAGGCAAGTGGGTTTAAAAAAATATCCAGAAGATAAAAAAAACTTTAGAAAATGTTTAAGATTGGTTATCAAAATGATGATGACAGGTTTAATTTTATTAAGCATAAATTTCGAAGATCATAAATAAATATTTAGGTGTTTAATAATTTACAGCCGCATAGTTTAAAAGCGTTATAAATTCCAAATTGCATCTTGCATCTATCATTGGTGCTTATGTAAAATTGGAAAATATTAGCTAATGTTTTTTTGCATTGGTATTAGCTTAAGAAAAAATATTCCACAAATTCGGGGAAAAATACCTAATTCTACTAAAAATATCTAATTTGTTGCCAATTTGCTCTGTGATAATTTGTACTAAAATAAAATTACTTCTGTCAGCAAATACGATAAATAATTTTTATAAAACCAGTTTAAATTTATTAAAAGGAAATAAGTTTAATAATTCTCTTTTGAAGCGATGGCAACAAACCAATAGTCTTTAAAAAGAACTTCAAATTTGGTGTCTTCCTATTCATAAAAAGTGGAACAATTTTTTTTTGTAGTTTTAAGGTTTTTTTTTATATTTTCTTAGTTTATTAAGATTTTTTAAAGTTTTCTGTGTCAAATATGTATAAATCATACATGCCCATTCTTAGCTCGTAGCCTACTTTGATAATTCAAATAGTAAAATAGAGCCCAAATATGTAAAAACTTAAGAAAAGTATAAGATCACATACACAAACACATTTCAAGTTCTCTTTTTGGGCACCCATGGTCTAAGTTGTTCAAGGTTCTCCATTAAAGAACATGCCAAGTCCCTCGATCCTTTTATCCAATCATATATATATCTAATGCTGGGACTAGCCAGGTACTCACCTCACTGATCTCATCCTCGAGAGCCCGTTGCCGAGTCAGTTGCCTGAGCCGCTCCCTGCGCTGCTCCGTCAGCTGCTCCAATCGCTGGGCCGCCCGGTCGACTTCGTTGAAGAGGAGCGTCACCTTGCGCAGCTTGCAGGCGGCATCCACGTTGAGGAATGCCCCTGAAGATGGCGATTGGGGCTGTGACGTCATCCGCGGCGAGGCGGGGGCAGAGGTGATGGCCCTGGCCAAATCCTGAAGCCGGGCCAACTGGCCGGCTCCCATCTTGCGCAGACTGTGGAGCTGCGAATCCATCAGCGCACGACTGAGGGCGCGATGTTGGCCATAAAGCTGGCGGCGCGTGGGCAATCCCTGAAGATCGGCGGCGCGTATTTCGCTGAGGGCACTTACCAACCGACCGCCGGCCGTCGAGCATTGGCGCTGGAAGGCCTCCAGTTGGGCGAAAAACTCCCGCCACTTGGCCGCATCGTGATGCCGCTGGTTAATCCCGGCCAGAGTGGCCAGGGCGGGCACGGAGGGCAGCAATCCAGCGGGCAGCTGCGATGGCGCAACACTTGTCGTGACTTGGTCCACGCTAATGAATTTAACCAAATCCGCTGCCAAAGACGACGACGGCTCCTGTTTTTTTTTTTTTTTTTTTTTGGTTTTGGGGTCAGAGTCAGAGCAGAGAAAAACAGCGGATTCGTTGTCATTAGTGGACAAGTTCTGTTTGCCCAGCCGGTCATGTCATGGGGCGGGTTAATTGGCTGCGGTTCAGGCTGTCGAGAGCCCAGGCTGGGGCGTTAGCCCGTTGCCTGGCCTTTCGATCCCGCCCTCCGAGAGGCACACACAGAGAAAATATGTGCTACTTTATATTCTTCGAGGATTTTTCATTGAGGAAATGATTCAGGTTATAACAGAAATCTATCTGTTTTTTATAAAGTATTGTTTAAATATATCTGGTAAATTAAAGAAATCAAAAGCAAGTAAATGCAGTGCCTAACCTGTATGTGAAATTCAGTAACTATAAAAACTTAACTCATATTTAGGGTAATAAAATCGTAGGAAAAAATATAAGTTAAAAATTTAAAATTAAAATTTTTTTTTAAATTTTATTAATGATCATTAATATACATAAGAAGTTGCACATTTTATGTAATAATCTTGTGATAAGTTTTAAATTTAATATTTATTCCTTTATCTGAACTTATAAATTCGGAGAATATTTTAAATAAAATGTGTCATAAAAATGGTTTCTAAATGTACGAGATCTTTTTAAAATTCCTAAACAATATTAGAAAAATAAAAAAATATCATTTGAACTTGTAAAGTCTAAGTTAGTGGTTAAGTAATTGAAGTTAAACTGCATTTTGATTACTGAAAATGAGACTTTGTACATTTTTTCTCTGTGCTTCCTTTTGCAATCCGAAAGGTCAGGCTGTATAAACTCTAAACTCACCGGGTGATCACTGTTATTGTTCTGCTGCTGCTGCTTCTGTTGCTGCTGCTCGTTGCACAATTGCAGTAGACTGGAATCGGGACAAACGGCCAAAATTTCACAATTGCCAATTTGCTTGGCTAAGAGTCTGAGACTTTGGCAAATTAAGTCGATTACGCATAAATGTTGAGACTTCTCGATGGCAATTAAAATGGTAAATGTCTGTTGGGCGGGTTGTTGTTTCAGCTGTTGCTGTTGCTGCTGCTGCTGCTGCAGTTGCTCAGCGCTTTTATGGCCATTGATTGTTGCTGTCGTTCCGGGTGATGTCGGGGTGGCAAAGGGGCAGGAGCTGCAAGAGCAATGGAAAACGAGCCGTGAGTTGTGGTCCAAAGTGGCCGAGAAGGTGCACGGTCAAGTCGCATAAATAACATCAAAAGTGTTTGCCTGCTGTCGATCGGAGGTGGACAAATACCAGCGATCGGGGAACTAGTTCAAAATAATATTTCTTAACTCAAAAATGGCTTTCCCACAATATTCATTTTTAACTAAAAAAATATATTTAAGCATTTAAAGGACCTTAAACAACTATATGAAATTTTAAATAAAAATATTTTGTACATTAGTTTCAACAATAAAATGTTACATTCATTTAAATTGTGTATTCTATTTATTCTAAATTTTCAAATAAGTTTTTCAGTTTTTTATTTTATATCTTGCAAACTTCCAAAGGTGAATTGTAATTAGCTAACATAGGATTTTTATTTCTTTGAATCCCATTAAGTTCACACGCAAAAATTGGTGTTTGTATAAACTTTAGTTATTCTTCGTTTTTTTTATAACTTTATATTGGCAGTAATACTAATTTGTTTGTGAATAGAAAACGGCATTTTTTAGTAGTTTCCAAGTTGTCTCTATTTATTGGTCCCCCATAAGGGGAGTACTAAAAATGTTTAGTGCAACTAGCTGCGCCAGCGCACCTAATTAGAATTGTTAAATTTAATGTGGTTCCAGGCTATAATTTTTCAATAAATCATTATAATCTTGGCGAGCATTTCCCGCCTGATTCCGCTGAAAATTAATAGCTCTCTTCCCGCTAATTCCCAGGCTTCCATGTGAACTGGTTCGCATGTGGGCCGCAGCCCAGCTCCATGAAATAAAAAAACACATAACGCTTGGGCGGATTGGGTGGTGGTGTCCGCTTGGGGAGCAGAACACACCGACTTGGCTACGCCCAAAACAAGTTCACTTTAATTGGCAATAAGCGGCCTCTGCACTTGGACTCGCTGCCAGATGAAGCACTTTACTTGGCTTTACCTTTCAGTAACTCAGCGGGGAGAAATCACGTAACTATGACAAGTTGGTAGCCACTTTTAATCAGCGTAAATAAAAATTGAAAATTGCTGCTAATGGCAGCTGGTGGGCATTAGCAGAAGCCAAGAGCCGTGTCCTAACACTTTAGCCAAAGTTTGTTCAGCGGCTTGGAAATTCTTTAGCGGCCAAGTTGGTTAACTGTAAACGCATGCCAGGCCAGGTTCTCGGTTCTTAGTTCTCAATTCTCAAGTCTCACATGGCAATTGGCAGTCAGAGCCACAAGTCCACCCCCAGGTTGTTGCAGATGCAGTTGCTCTCGGAGTTGCAGTTGCAAATTGCACGCAATGCTCACGGGACGGGGCCAAGATCCCAGATGATGTGGCGTGTTTCCGCGGAGTCTTCGGGCCCAAGACCGCGGCTTAATGATGCCGCTCAGTGCGGCTATAAAGACCGCCTGGCATTTCAATTCCGAAGCAGCCCATATACACGCTCAAATGGGCCAGCCGCCAACAGCTATTCCGTAATTTGGGCACGTCGAGGTGGGAGATACTCTAGCTAACTTCCCTAAATACACAGAGTAGCTTAAGGACTTAAATCTCGGTGAAAAAATGATTTCATTATTTGAAATACAAATTAGTTAATTAATAAATATATTCTGTAGCTTTTATTTTAAATATTGACCTACTTCTTACTTTGCTTAGTAACTAAAATGAATATGCCATGAATATTGTGAAATTGTATGACTTATAAATCAAGAATAATTCTTGTTTTGGAATTGGAAATCAAACCCAATTTTCTAATTTAAATAATAATTTTAAGTCAAAGGCCAACAAATGAATTAATTTATTGCAAAGTAAAAAAACAATTATAAAGTGAGACGTTCATTAATAAACAAATAAAGGATATACATTCTTTTTTTATAGTTTAATTAACAAAAAATAATTTAAATATGATAGAAATTAGTATTCTATTTTAAAAACTATACCACTTTTTTATTTGAAATTTTGTAAAAGCGATTATAAAAGAGTTATGAATCCTTTTGACTTTTACTTTAAAATAAATACCGAAAGACCTCATAAGCTTTCTCTTTTTTAGTGTTTTATACATTATTTAGATTGAAAAAATGAAATTAAATAATGAAGGAATGGCTTAGACAATTTGCAGTCAACTATTTAGCAGAACAACCTTTCCTTCAACCCATCTTCCCATTCCGCGAACCCATTTTGTAGTTCGCCCAAAAAGCCTGAGCCCCGTTCAACCTCTGTCATGGGCAATTATAATTTAAAACCTTGGCTGATTGCGATGCATTTCGGTTTTGGGAGCAGTCGCGCATGCTCTCTCCGTCGATTTTGTAGGGCAAGACGCATTAAAATATGAGCACAATCCTAGGCCAGGTCGAGCGTGTGTAACCCGAGCTTTTCTTTTATATCCGTATTATGCGCGGGCATGCATATTTATACCCGGGGTCTTCATACCTTTCGCAGCCGAAGATTCCGAGAAGTGCGGCCGCCAAACTATGTCCATAAAAACAAATTTAATTGCAAGCTGTCACACACACGATGGAGGGAGTTGTGGATTGGCATCGTAGATGGAGTTGGAGTCGGAGTTTGAGCTGGAGTTTTGGGAGTCAGGCAGTCAGGGAGTCAGGGAGTCAGGGAGTCGGAGTCGAGGTCAGACCTCTGGCCCAGACAAATGATGTAAGCTACGGATAAGCGAAGTGGCCATGTTGACACTGACGCAGTGGTGAAAACTGAACGCAGACCAGAGAGCCGCAGCCAACATCTAATATTTGCCGTCCATCTGGCTGACATTCGGAATTGGACAGGCAGCTAATGAATACCTTACACATGTCGGCAAACAAACGCAAATAATGTCAATGGTCTGGCAGATCCAACTCGTCATGAGTCAGGTCGAAGAAAACTGCTGGTCTGGACTGGACTGGATGGTATGAGATGGAATGGAATGGGATGAGATGCTAAGATGTTGAGATGCTGATGATGATGATGAGGCGGCTACAGCAGATGTGCCACTTTTCAGCGCAACTGCTGCCACTGCCAATGTTTGTCAAAGAGTTTTCTACACGATTTGGCCGCGTTTTACCAATTGGCATTGAAGCAATTAACATCAGCATGCAGCTGGATTTCGAGCTGAATCTCTGGCTTAGAACTGGAACGGGAATCGCAATGCCAGCTCTAAGTGGCCGCCAGATACGAGTGTACTCCACTGTCGATTTAGATTTCACAGATTTCTGATATTTCCAGGAATCGTGTGGCAGTTGGAACCTTTTGCGAGAACAGCAACAACCATTGCGGAAAAATAAAAGTTCACATCATAAATTTTAAAGTGTCACGAATCTGTCTGGAAAAAAATCATTCATATGCCTGCAGTTATCGCTCTTTCTCTCTCTTGTTCCTAGCCCTCTCTCGCTCGCTCCTCAAAGGGAAGCCGCACACAGTCCCTCAAAAGACGTGCCAGCAAAAAACCAGCCCCACAAACATTGGCAGCCAGCCTGAGTGGAATTCTAATTTACACTGAACAGCAGGGGAAAACTTCGGTCTGATTTTCAAGACCTTTTCCCATGACCTTTGGGATGAACTCGTTAAAGGAACCTCGTTAAGACAGTTTACTTTTAGATTTTTCTTTCAAAATATTAATGGGTTTTCTCCCACCAGCTTTAAAGTTCCTAGTATATTAGCTATTTCTGGTCCGACAACCTTAAAAAAAGAGGATGGAAATAAGTAGAACTCATTTGGTTTTCCTAAACAAGTATTATTTAAAAAGCAAGAAAAAATGATGTTAAATAGTTTCACTTGTTTTACTCTAAATAATACTAAAAGGTTATACCGAACTGTTATTTGTTTGTCTACCAAAAGTAAATTTTTTCATTCATTGTATTTAATCTTTTTTCTTATTCTCAATTCTCTATATAAACAAATCATCACGTTATTCTTCTAATCTTTAACTCTTATCTCTGCTTTTTGAAAAACTCAATTGCACTTGACCCAATTGTACAAGCAATATCTAAGATTATAAATTTCTTCCCTATTGTATTTACTTTATAAAATCCACATTCACTCGAAGATCTAGGGCAGATAGCCAACCCTGCTGGACAGTGTTTATCGACTTTTAGCCCAGACTTTTGTTCTATTTTCTGAGGCAAAGTTCTCGGCTCACAATGCAAGTGCTGTTCGATGTTGCTGCTGCATGTTTCCTTTTAGCCAAAGTGGCAAATTGACTGACATGCATTCGGGCTGAAACGAAACTCTCGGGGGAGTGTGGTATTGGGGATTGGGAACTGGGGATTGGGGATTGGGGAGCCCGTCTTAAAGGCTTAAATGCAGCTCCGCTTCGTTCCCAGCGCCATTTGGCTGACTGGCTGGCGCATTTGCATATCTGCTCGTAAATATGGATGGGCCGCCGGGTCCCGGGTCCGCGAGTCTATGAACTTATTGCCAGACAAATTGAAATGCCTGATTCGGATGCAGATGCCGATTTCGGTGGGGGTACGGGTGGGGATTGGGGCTCTGGTACTCGAACTCGCACTCGTACTGGTTCTGGTTCTGCGATTGCCCACAGCTGCTCGTTGAGCCCATTCCCATGCGTTACTTTGACACTAAACCGATGAGGCTGATTCTAATTCTGATTCAGATATGGAAATTGAGATATGCACACGGGGAAAAAGTTCCATGATATATGTACAGTTCTGATGCAAAAATACGATCAGACGTTGTTGTTAACAACTATATATGTTCACCAAATGTAAGGTTTAATTCTGCATTTATAATATTGAGTGATCTAAACATTAATTTAAAATTCAACACTTATAGTTGCGTTCTTAATTATATATTCTATTGGTATCAAAAAGTTTTTAAAGAATCTATTAATTCGCTTTGTTTAAAAGTTGATTTTATATTTTTGCTGGTTTCTGTTTCTCTTGCAAATTTCTTGAAAATATATATAATTCTTTGTTATATAACAACTAGATAAGCTTTTATTTACTGTGACTTTACTAGAGCTATTCAAATAATGTCATTATTTTAACACCCTAGAAAAATAAATTGAGTACTGAGATCTCTCATTTTGGTCCTTTGATTGTTAACTAGGTATGAAACTTTTATATCCTTCACAATAGCTGAGATATGTTTTTGTACTACTTTTAAAAACTTCTGCTTCTTCCACATATTAAAGCTTTTTAGGGATGTTAAAATACGTAATCTGTGACCAATTTATGTGGTATTTGTTCCCAGTGCAGCTCCACTGATCCCCCACTCACCTGCGCTCGGGAATTGTGCTGTAGTAGAGGAGCAGCGTGGCCAGCTCGTAGCAATTGAGGCCGGCGGACGCCACACAGGCCGCGTCTACGCTCACAAGTGGGTCGCCTTGGAGGGTGCGTGTGCCTGGAAAGAGTTACGAAAAGATGGTTGAGATGGTTGAGATGGGTTATAAAAAGATCTCGGGATGTGGGAAATCACACACTCCGGCGCGGTCTCAATTGGTGCACCCTGGGTGGCCACTTTGCCTTCGATAATGTGCGAAAAAGCGTGTGCACATTAATTGAAAAGCGCCAACTTTTTGGTTTCCCCAGCCGCTTTTCTTTGCCATTAAAGCCATATATGCAGCCAGGAAAATGGCCAGCGGCAAATTGCCCGACGGGGCGTTACAAAACCAATTTCAATTTATAAGCAAATTCAGTTTTTTTTTCGGCCCAGTGAAAGTCTAGAATTAGATGAGAGCGGGCTGGGGCGCGGCGAAAATGGAAAGTTTGTCACCTAGGTCCACCGCATACGGATGCTCACCTGGTAGGTAGACGCCGCTGGTCAGCAGTTTCTCAGGCAGCTCGCCAATCGAGCTGGGCGGTAATAGCTCTGTCTCGCAGGTCTCTGCAGAGAAAGAAATAAAAATATTTAAGAATCCAATTTTTTTACAAAAAGCTTAATTTAAAATGAATAGTAAATACTCGGTGCGTCTGAGAAATTTCGGAATTCTTCAAACAAATGTTTAATTTTTTAATGAATGAAATAAGTTTTACATATTTCATTTAATTTAAAATCAACCCTTACTATTTCGGCAATTTTTAATATCTCTACAATATTTGCCAAAATTTTAAAAGTACTTTCTAATACGCACGTATGTTCCCTTTTGTTTATTTGATTATATAAAAGTAATATGTTTAGAGATTCTTGTTTTTGCGTAATAAATAAAATATCACTATACTATTTCAATGTTTATGGTAAAATAAAAGCCATTTAAAAACATAAAAACACTGCCTTTATAAAACAGTTTTGTTGTAATTTTTTCCTGTGCCTAAATGGTAACCAGAAAAGACTTGCGAAAACTCACACGAAAATAAATGGATAGAGGGGGTAAGAAATATGGGTTAATTGTATTTTAAACGCTCCACGGAACCTTGAAAACTGGTCCAGGATCTGAGCCGTTTGCATAATAATGCCATTTGATTAATTTCGAGCTGCCGAACAGCCCACACCGGCTCTCTAGGAAGGGGCGTGGTCGCCGCCTTGGCTTCGTTTGCCCCAAAAACAAGTTCCTCATAAATTGTTCGCCTGCCCCGGGCACTTTCGCATGCGACAAATATTTCTCAATGATAAATGCGACACATTTCAGCGTCTCGGGAAATTCTGCACTCGTCGCAGTGAACTCCGGCCACCTGTTGCGGCTTTTCCAATGGCAGAGAGCCAAAAACGAATGCGACCCGCTGCATTGTAATTCAATAGCCCGACCACAATAGCCCCCGCACTTGCCAGCTGATTTATGCCCGCTTGCAAATTGCACCCACACCCAGCCCAGATCGCAGTTGAACGCATTCCAGCGAACAGTGGCCAGAAGAGCCGGAAAAGTGGTGGAAAGGTTAACATTTCCCGGATATATCAGATAAGTTTTATCTATACCATTTGGTAATGTTTAAGGTACTTAGTTTTGTTTAGGAAAGTGTTAAATACTTCCCATTCCTATTACTTTTGGTTTCCTAGACATTTGCTTTTATGTTTAACTCATTTAGAAACCATTCCTCAACTATTAAAATATTTTAAAAGGCTTAACTGTTAAAATCATTTAACATTTAAAAAGTATTATAGGATTTTACAATATATGTTGGTTTTATAAATATCCAACGAAAATGCATTGTTTAGTCCATATATGCTCTAAATACCTCCAAATCACTTATCTATTTGGATTACCAGTTTAACCCTTAATTGAAAGCTATTAATATCTTGTAATTAATGAAACCCTATATTATTTTATATTATATATTTTTTTTATATAAATAGGCACAGTTAGTTTGAACGTCTTAGGGATTTTTATCTTTTTTTAGAACTAAATCGTGTACATTTCACTTATTTATGATGACTATGTCGAACCACTGTGGCATTACACTGGCATTGCTTTGGTTTCTCATTTAATTTTCATATTTTAGGCTTTGACAAATTAAAAGGCATTTGCACCGTTGTGGCTGCCACAGAGACAACGATATTTTGCGGCTAACCACGTCTCGCCGGATGCCGTGGGTTGTCGATGTTAATGGCTAATGGCTAAAGCCGCGGCTGCCGGCGGACCTCCTCCTCTCAATGGAGTATTTTGAAGGGGCATTTTTAGCCGCCAATAAAGAACGGCTTTTAAGATTTTTTGAAAAATAAATGGGTACAGATAGAAGTGGCAATTTTCGAACATTGCCAGCTTAATTGACTATGGAATTGGCATTTAAAAATGTGTGTTGTCATGGAATTAAGTCTTTGGCAAACTGTTAATTAATCAAATGGCATAAGCGAATATGACATCCTCCATAAACATTCCAAAACAAATCCAAACCGGATGGAATGCTTTAGATCAAAACTGAATATCATCCAGATAGCAACAAAAAGTCAAAGACATTTGGCCAAAAATTTCACTCTCGCATACTTTCGCTAGAATTCAGGGCAACACACTGCGTTTATCTGTGGACAATCTGGAAATTAATTGATGTAAATGTCGGGCAGCATTTATGCGCAGCAAATATATCAAATTAGCGCCAAAACTGAACGCTATCAAAGCGTTCCATTAAACCCCACCCCCAAAATATCGACTTCAAAGCGCCGTTCGAAATGAACACAAATTTGAGTCCAGTTTGGGTTTAACCGACTTTTGGCTGCGGGGCGTTTAATTGAATAGTTCGGGCTCACAGATTTGCATACGATGCAGGCCACGGAGCTAAAACAAATAAGACAAATCACGCCCAGAAATTTCGATAAGCAAGCCACGAACTGGTCGCTCTGTTGCAACTGCTGCAGGTACACTGCGAAAAATGCACATTATTTTATGTAAAGTAAGCGTGTGTGCTAAATAAATATTTAAATAGTCAATTATGTATGTTCTCGGCTGACATGTAATGGGGCAAAAAGTTAAAACCATATCTGTATACTTATGTAATTATAAAAACTGTTAGTATATTCTTCTAGTTGCTTTGAATTGCAATGATTTCTTCTAAGAAATTAAACATATATTCCCCGCCTTAGTCACGTGATGAGCAAGAACTACTGTTTTGTGATGCTTCAGAAAATTAATTAGCAATATCATATTAGTAATAGCATAATTAAATTTCTCATTAAATTTTACGTATTTATAATTGTCTTTAAATTGTTTATATTTGGTACAACATTTTTGCTGTTAGACACCCAAAGTTCGAATAGCAATATTAATAGTGGTATCTTTTTTAATTAATAAAATTATTCAATTTCCTATTCTATTTTCAGTAACATTTATAGAGACGTTGCGTTGTTCAAATTGTTTTCTGTGTATTAATGCAAACAAAATACCGACCGATATCGGAGCATTTTCTGCGTCCCGCGGCTATCGGTGCGCATGCGTAATGTGATATTACGTATACGCTGCGTGGCTTACCCAGACTGTGGTGTTTCCCAGGTCCAACGCTATCGCTCGGCTCCTCGTCACTGTCGATGTGCGGAAATGAGTTTCCCAGGCAGAAAAGCGGCAGTGCCGGCGATGTGGATGCCCCACTCGCCTCATTGCCACCACAGTTGCTCCTCTTTTTCGCCTCCGCGCTGCTGGTCAACAGCTCCTCGCCGGCACTCGAATTCGAGCTGGAACTGGAGCTGCTGCTCCTGTCGCTCACATTACTATTGCCCGACGAGGTGGAGTTCATGCTGTCCTGCCGATTTGTGAGGCGCCGCAGCATGTAGCGGCTGTTGAACAGTTTGTTTTTGGTAATCAAATCGCTGCGTCGCAATGCGCACTTTGGTGATCCCACCAGGTTGTTGCAGCCATTATTGTTGGCCTCATCCAGCAGATCCTCGCCGGCGCCATGGTGCATCGGCATCTGCAGCTCGTTCAGCGAGACCCGCTCGATGCTCCGCTCCACGCTCACCAGCAGATTCTGCAGCAGTTGCGGCAATTCGCCGCCGTCCGCCGCCATTAGTGCCGCCGCCGTGGACATTTCCAGCTGGAGCACGCTCAAGGGCAGCTGGCCGGGATTCTCGTGGTCGATGCAGTGGCTCTGGACGCTCTCCTCCGTGCGGGACGAGCGCCAAACAGCATAGAGCCGCGGTGTGCAGTCCGCGTCGCCTTCTGCAGAAGATTCTGTGAATGTAGACGGTAGAAGGATGGTCAGATCAGAAAGCATTGGTATTATTGGGTAAAATAAAAGTAAACTGAATTAAATTAACATAATTAAATTTGAATTGATTAAATATTTTTTATTAAATTTTAAAAACTACGTTATTAAGTTTATTAATTAACGAGGACGGAAGCTAACTTCGGCAAGCCGAAGTTTTAATACCGCAGACTTTGCCGAAATTGCAAAACTGAAAAAAGAGCCAAAGGAATAAGGTATACATAAATAAACTAGATTTTCATCGTTTAATGTCAATTGCTTTATACTGCAAAAATGTCATATAAAAAAAAAAAAGGGATACTTTCGCAGCCTTTAACTATTTTTCCTACGGAAGCTATAAGAAATAGACGTCCGATCGGCAAGCGCTTTACCCTAATCAAGATATGCGTAAATAAATAAGACTTGGAAAAATTTATGTCAGTAGCTTACACACTACGCAAAAATTCAGAAAATCATCAAATTTGGACCGATTTCACCCTGTTGTTCCTATGGGAGCTGTAGGATATAGACGTCCGATCGTCACGTGCTTTATCATAATCAAGGTATGCAAAAAAATACGATTTGGAAAGATTCATGTCAATTGCTTATATACTGTGCGAAATATCCTAAAAATCATTAAATTTTAACCGATTTCACCCTATTGTTCCTATGGGAGCTATAGGATATAGACGTCCGATCGCCAAGCGCTTTTACCCTGATCAAGGTATGCATAAAAAATAAGATTTGGAAAGATTTATGTTAATAGCTTTACACTGCACAAAATATTTTCCATTCTTGAAAGTTATATCCGATTGTTCCTATGGGAGCTATAGGATATAGACGTCCGATCAGCACGCGCTTTCACCTTGATGAAGGAATGTATAAAAAATACGATTTGAAAAAATGTATAGCAATAGCTTTACACAGCGCGAAATATTCTGAAAAACAAAAATTGGACCGATTTTACCCTATTTTTCCTATGGGAGCTATAGGATATAGACGTCCGATTGCCACGCGCTTTACCCTGATCAAGGTATGCATAAAAAATACGATTTGGAAAAATTCATGTCAATAGCTTTTACACTGCGCGAAATATCATCAATTTTGCTAGATATATCCGATTGTTCCTATGGGAGCTATAGGATATAGACGTCCGATCGGGGCGATTTTCAAACTTGATCTGCGTACACATGTTTTAGGACGCGTGGAAAGTTTCAGATCGCTAGCTTTAAACTGAGCTCACAAACGGTATTGAAACAGACGGACAGACGGACAGACGGACAGACGGACAGACGGACATGGCTATATCGACTCCCCTATTGATCCTGATCAAGAATATATATACTTTATGGGGTCGGAAACGTCTCCTTCACTGCGTTACAAACTTCTGACCAAAATTATAATACCCTCTGCAAGGGTATAAAAACGCTTGAGATGTTGTACACTTTCTAAAGTTATCATGGATTATATGGATCACATATATATGAATAAAACTTGAGTTCTTACAAATTAAATATGTATCTGATCCTGAATCGTCCCCCTAAAACAGTGTTGATAACGCCCTTCTTTTCATCTTGTGTTTGCTTGAAAATATATATATTTAATATTTTACAAAGCCATGTTGTTTATTTTTTAAAGCATATAGATTTAACTAGGTTGACCACCATTATATATTATTTTTAAGTATACAAGAGCTTTTAACATGCCCTACAACTCTTCTAAAACTTGTAATTTTCATAAAAAACTTAACACTGAAAATTATTTTGAAACCACTTGTTCTCTTCACTGAAGTTCAGCCATGTTGTACTCTAAATTTAGTATTGAAGAAACATTGGTATTAATGGGTAGAAAATATTATTGAACTAATTTAAGAACTAATTTATTAAAATTAATCATAAAAAACCCTTGAATAATATATTTCTAAAAATTGTTAATGGTATATGATTAAGCAGTTTATTTTAAATATCTAGAAAGTCCCATAGCTCTTAACATTTGATTCATATGCTTGCATTCTAGACCCATTTAAATTGATCAGGCTAGCCCTGGACGGCCTTAAGTGATCGATTATTTTGATTGAGGGTTGTGGGCCCCTTATAATCATAGTCCCAGGAAGGGCCAGACCAGACCCCTCCGATCCCGGTCGACCCACTTACCCAATTTGATGCAGAGATACAGCTCCGCCGGGCGAAGTGCGTGCGCGATCTCAGCGTCGCTCAGCTGCAAGACCAGAGCTCCATTGGATGTTGCCAGCGGCCAGCCGGGATGCCATAACCAGGACTGAAAGACGATAAGCGGTGTAAGTGCCTGATTGCAGATTGAGTAACGAAATCATTTGCAAATTTTTATTATTACTGCGATTACATGTTCGGCCAGAAATTGTGCAGGCCACAACACCCGCAAGTGTTAAGCTGCGGAAAGGAAACCAAAAACGATAAAGAAACCAAAGCCGAAACTGCAACCAAAGCCAATAGCAAAACCAAAGCCAAAGCCAAACCAAGTCGAGGCTGACTGCCTGGAAAGCGCATTTAAAATGGCCCAGACTGTCCGACGTCAGACGTCAAGAGCTGGGATATTTGGAGGCCTGAATGTTTGAGGTCTCCCCCATGTTTGTCCGCCAGTTTTCCATATCGGCGATGGTGAGTGTGGCAACTTTTTTGGCCGCCCCAGTACCAAAAGTGCACAGCAAAAACTGCTTACATAATGGTCTATTAGAAATTTAAAATACATTTTTAAAGACCGTTATTACAAACGTTAATTAACACCCAAAATTTACATTTAACTAAATTTCAGTTTTCGGACAAAAGTAAATTTAGATGGGGTAAAGCTGTAAACATTTTTATCGCCATATAAAAAGTATGGTGAAAGAAAAATGCCAGACAGATTAAGTAGGTTAAAGTTCACTTCGCAGTTGTGTTAATATCTGTCATAAATTAAACTTTCAGGAAAAGCAATACAAAAGCAATACAAGACTTGCTAATTTGTTGTGTCATTTTATAGAGTAAAAAATAATATTAAATATTGAAATCTACTTTATGCTAAGTTGGCTAATTCTGACCCTGAATAAATTGTTCTCTCTTCCTAATAGATATATATTTTTTTTGGGTGTACACCCAAAAAGCGCGGAAAAAAACGGAAAACAGGCACCGCCTGGCGATGGAAAATTATAGATAAATCATGCAAGTCAAACTTTTGGCAATTTTTGCTAATTTTTGGTTATTACCCTCAGCGTTTGTGCCAAGCTGGAAGGAGACTGAAAAGCAGAAAGCCCAACGCAGATTTCACCCCTACGGGAATGTGAAATCGAAGTTGAGTCCAGCGACTGCAAAAAAAACCAAAGAGAGAGCTCCCAAAGACCCGAACTAAAGTCCGCTCCTTTGGTCAGCTATTAATTGCTGCAATGCGAAAATGTTTCTTCGCATTGTTGCTAATTTGCCAGTTGCTCAGATTTTTTCAACATTTGATTTTTGCTTTGTTTTCGTCTCGTTTTTGTTTCTGTTTTTGTTTTTTTTTTTGGAAAATCAGACAGAGGAAAAAAGGTGCGCACTGGCTTGATTTATAGCGCCTTTTGACTCAACACAAAAACTTGGATATTTTATTGGTAACAAAGCGATGTCTGTTGTTGTTTTTATTGCACATGCCACCCACCTAGGATTGAAAGAGACAGGGCGATAGGGTGATAGGGGGGAAAAAAGAGAGACGCAGACATAAATCAATTGTTGTCGCTCGAGAGGAGGAATTCAATGGGGGTTTCAGGGGTTCCACGGGCTGAAGAGGGTCGCAGATCGAAATCCATTCAAACAGAAAATGATCAATTTTGTCATTTGATCAAAGCCGCAGCAACGATCGCAACGCATCGTTTACAATCGATTGAACAAAATGATCATCGCCGATCAACCGAACCACACAACGACAACAACAACGCAACCACTTCCTCCGCTCTAAAGTCATCTCCCTTTCCCCTCTTCCCATCTCACCCTCTCTGATATTTCGGACATGCACTGAAAAAAAGTTCGAATTTAAATGCTTCTTAAACTTTTTTTATATGGCACTAAAAATATCATAAAAACGTGAATGAATATCTAGTATTTCTAACAAGTAAAATATGAACCACAAACAAGTACAAAATGTGCCAAATTTGTTTATGACCGAAAAGATAATTTGGTGTTTGATTTTAAAGCTCTCCTTTCTTATGTAGTAATAGTTGCCACAGGTGAAATACTAAAAAACTTTATCCCATTTAAAGGCAATGCCAACATCGTAACCAACTGGAATTTAAAGGCCATGAAACGTTGTACCATATAATTATTTTTATTTTTTTAACATTAAAGTGAACATAACTTATAAGGAGAAGAACAATCTTTAGACTATTTAAGCTGAGTAAAAATAATGATAATTTTTTTTTTTTTGAATATTTAAGATTTTAACTATACTCTAAATTTTAAGCAGTTTAATAAATTACTAATTTTATATTTAACAACAAGTTTTAAACATCATACATTTGTATGCTTGCTATAATGAATTCAAGAATGTCTTTCTTATTTTTCTGTGTGATTCAGGGAGGTATCGTTGTATAAGCCCCTGTCGCCACATGCTAAAATAATGATTTTCGTAACATTTTCCGCATGATTGCTCCCAACCCAGCTCCATGCCAAGTCGCATGTTCCATTGGCGGTGTCGGTGCCTTCTCCATCTCCGATCCGATCTGTTCCGATCGGATACAATCCGATCCGAGGGGGTTCTAAATCATTGGAAGCGTTTCGGTTTCGTCGTCATTGACCCAAATGCGCGCGTCGTTTGGACGCCGCTTGTCATTGTCATCGATGTTGTTATATTGTAGTTTTAGTTGTCGTTTGTTTCTGATGGTGTCGCCTACACTGAGCACTGAACTCCGATCCAACCCTCTCTTTGCGGCGGCACTGTCATATAATGTTCGATTTTATGTCCAAAGACAAGTCGTACTTTTCAAAATGGTATGCAAAGAAAAACTTTGAAGGACAGCAAGTGGTCGAGCTAAGTAAGTTTGTCGCTATAAAATATTCTTAACCCAACAAAAAGCCCACATGTTTTGCAAAACAATTTCAGACAACAGCAAGTATCGGAAACTATTTGAAGAATATTAAATCAATATTTATATTAATAATTGGAGGCTACGGATTAAAATATCTAAAAACACATATTTTATATGTCGAATAAAAAAAACCCTATTTAATCTGTCATTGCAAATAATGAAGCGAAATATTAAAATGTATTTAATAACTTGACTACCAAACAAACTGGGATATTACAGAAAAGCATAGAATATAACTTCTTTTTAATTAAATAATTATTAATACTGAATGTATAAATACCTAGCTGTTTGAAATGTAGAAGGATACTCAAAAATACTGCAATTTGTCTATGTTAAATTACCGATTAAAAATAACTTTTTGTTTTGAAAATTTCCCAAGAACTCAAAATAAAACGAAACCTATATGGCAAAATGCTTATGAATATTTTAAAGTATACAAATAGTTGGGCTAGAACCAAAGCATTTCCTCTAAAAAATATTCCATAAATTTAGAGTCTTCCAAATGGCACCAAGCACCAAAGCTTCTGTTCCTTCCCAGAATTGTAGACACAAAAAATGTGAAACAAAGGGTATTTCACCACAGCAAAGATACAAAAGTATCTTTTTTGTTCTCGATCTGGGGTTGTTTTCAATTTGTTGCGGGGCGACAAATTTCCGTTCCATTGGCGGCGTTCGGCTTTCGAGTGGCTGCCCATAAATCTGCGGGTAGATTTCGGCGAGGATTTGTCTGAATCCTTGCCCGGATCAGAGCATATATCATTCCATCATTGTTAATGCCATTTTTTTGCCCATTCCCACGCCTTTGATGTTGAAAACTAAATTACCGACCGGACAGCGGCAAAACGAAATGAAATGAAACAAAAACCCATCAACAGGCGGCGAAGTCAGCGGTTCGACGGGCCGAATATATGAGTAATCAAGCCGACATGGGCCGGCATTAGCATATATGCAGATATAAACATGTATGCCTATATGGATGGTGTGTGGTCGAAAAGAAGCGGAGTATGAATGGCCATGTCCCGGCGTGTGGCGCCCAGCCTTTGGCAATTATTCAATGCGGGTGCAGTCGTACACGGACTCGGATTTTGGACTCCGTTGGGGTTTGTTTGGCATCTGAGTATCCCAGGGACTGGGGACCACCGTCGGTGCCAACAGAATTACGCATGCAAAGGCGCACAGGGCGTTGCACAAAAATATAAAAAATAAAGGGGAATAAACACTCATCGGACACATTCACATGCACTTGGCTTGTTTTCTTAACAAATTGTAGGGAAAAAATCGCTGCGCTGCTGGGGTTCAAATTTCGTTTATTGCCAATTTTCGGCTTCACATATTTTTCCTAATTTCTCGGATTGAGCCGTAATTAATTTGTTGGGAAAAAAGGGCCACACCTGGTCAAAAGCGCCGCTGGCTTTGGATAATTATGATGTGTAAGCGGCGGCCTCGGCCTTTTTATTTTATTTTTATTTTTGGGTGGATGTCGAATGTCTGATTTTGGCCAACGATTCCGTTACTTTTGGCCAAATTGTCTGCGATGGCCAACAATTGATATTTGCCTGTTTGTTATTTAATTTTTAATTTGCCGCTGTACGTTGAGCGAAGAGGCGGAATTTCATTAGTGAGCGAAAAATAGCTTTGCAATTAAATAACACACTTCTTTGTCTGGAGGAACATTGCGGAAGATTATATAAGCCCCAGAGGAATTTGATATATTAATAGCGATAAATAAACTTTCTTTACCGTTTTCTGTGTTAATAAACACTCAACAAACAAATAAATATGCGATAAATCATCTGCTGCAGCAGTTAAAAAAATGTAATTTGAGTACTTATTACCAATTGGTTTTTCAAATGGCTTATAAGTGAATAGAGCTATAAATATGAGCAATAAATTTGTCGCTATTTGGTCTCTAAACATGACATAACTTTTGCAGATACCTTTTAGGATATATTTAAGGTGCCTAATTGGTAATTAAATTCTTTGGTTATAATTGAACTACAAAATACATGAAGGTATAGGTAAAAAGAAAATATTTTGATTTTAGGAAATCCGCAAGCTATAACTTTTTACTGTTACAATTTATCGCTTTTCTGCCCCAAATTCGGAACCATAAAAATCATTGATCTTTCCTTTTTTGAATACTGCTCAAATTGATTTCCTACTCCACATGTTTCCTGTGCATCATTTACCATGCCCAATGCGATCAATT